ATTCTTCTGGCTCTTTCATTTCAGGCACGTAAATAAAAAAGAAAAAAAAGTGAATTGTTGAAGGTATACAGCTAAAGAGCACGAGGGCAGAGAATGCACCAAAGCAGCTACTATTTCAAGTTGTGTGTTATGCTTTTTCTCAAGGCTACGCATAAAGACCTTTACAATGCTCTCGTAAAACTTGGATTTTTTCCCCCCCTGGTACACACCAATATAAAAATGTAATAATAAGACACGTGCACTTTATTATTCTTCTTACATCCACCTTTATATTTGAAGCACAATTTTTAATTTATTTTTACTTTCTACAAGACGTTCCTGCAAAGATTTCTCTCAGTTTCTTGACATGTGGTGGAGACTAGGTATGTAAGGAGGCAAAGGTTACCGTTGGCAGCACAAGCAAAGGAAAAAGGGAAATCTAGATGTGTTGCTGAAACTGCCACTCCTCCACTGTCTCATTACAGAGCAGCTACAGCCTTCCTGCCTGCTGGCTGTTCCTCCCGTACTTCATCTCTCCCACTCTCTTCTGTACAGCATTTAAAATACTTCTTCATCGTTGGCATTATTTGGCAACAGGCATTTGTAGGATGGCCTCCTACTGCCTCCTCAATGTAACCTCTTGTTTCTTTTTTTAAACAAACAAAAAAAAAGCGAGGATGAATCTGGACATTTCAGTGGTCCATCACAAACACGTCTATGGCTAACTGAGAGAGTCCAGAAAACCATATACTGCCTGATTGTGCACTGTTGGAGGGGAACTGAGTACCTGGAGCACACAGGCAGACCATTCTCACTCAATATACAAAGACCTGGAATCGAACCAGTGTGGTGGTCTTGCTGTAAGGTAGGCTTACTAACCATGTCCTGTGCTGTGTGGCTAAGGGAAAGTTCATATTCCTGTATTTTCTATTATAAACAGACTCTGTTACCGAGCTGCAGAAAGTGCCTGATGGTATTTACCTTTCACAAACGTGACCTTTTTCAAATCCTGCCTCTGAATCTCATTACAGCCGAACCACCATCTGTCCTGGTGCCGAAAACACAGGTCAGTGTTTTATCTTCCCTTTTAAACTGTACAGCAACCTGAAAATAGGTCCAACAACAAATTTACACTTTATGTCCAACATAACGCAACTGTTTTTGTATTCTGTGCTTGGAAAATTACTGCGACGCTTCTGTTTTTTTGTTTGTTTTTTTTCTACTTTTTTCCTCCTGTGACAGGCGGAGGAAAGTGTTGGAAGTGGCTAAATAATTTTAATTATAACCGCTTAGTCACATGCATAATGTAGGAGCACACAGGTGCAAAGGCAAGGTCTGAAATTACGTGACCAAAAATTTATGGTCAGACCTCGCAATGTGTTTTGGTAACGAGCATCTCAGTGCTGAAGTCACACGTCATAATTCCTCTGCCATGACTCTTCAATTAGAAGATAAACCTCATCAATATTTACAAAAAAAAAAAACAACCTGCAATCACGACACTAATGACTGCAGCGGTGTAAAAGACAAGCTCACAAAGGCAGGGAAAACACCACATGAACTCCCCACAACAGCATGAGCTGACAGCATCCTGGTGGCAACGTCGCCTTGATTCCAACACACACACAGTCTCACAAACTCTCCCCTAAGGAGAGGAAAACATAAAACAGGCAAATCCTGGAACAAGAAAGAAAAAAAAAATGTTCCCATGACAAACAAACCAGAACATGCTGCAAGTTGTGTCAGATCTCAGGAGTACGCTTCATACACTTGTCAGTCCCTCTCCAAGGACTCCCAGAGGACTGTGTGCAAATCTTCATGGAGCCAGATGGCCCCCCATCTAAGGTATTCAGCTGAGGCATTGAAGCAACAGCCAAGGAGGTGTCAGAGTCTATGCTAAAGGCACACTGCCATTGCCACCAACATGCTCGGCCATAAAAACACAGTAGAAGTGACAGAGGAGTCGGTGGGCTTCTGTCGTTTGGAGGAAATGACTATAAAACATGGGCTTCATGCTCGGAGTTTCCTTTTCATTCAATAAATGTCTGTGAACTCACAGTATTTGCATTTGGTAATACTTACATCTAGAGTACATATACGGTGGTGAACACGGAGTTCATCTAGAGCAGTCGTGTCCATGCACGTTGTCAGTACATGTATTTGCTTTCTGTCTGCACGACAAAAGCAAAACAAACACTTTGTAATCAAACTCTGATGTTAGCCGCCTGTTGTTAGGATGGATGGGTCTGCATTAGTAGACTGTATGTAAGCCATTTGAAGACATCAGTGTTCTGTAGTAAATGATGGTAGAATCATGAAGGCCTGAGAACCTCATGAATCATGAAACCTGCCAATCACTAACTGGGTCATGATGGTAGAATCATGAAGGCCTGAGAACTTTAGGTTTACTGCAGGTAAGTTAGGACATACATTTATTTCCAACCAAGTCCAACTAAAAGAGTACTTTTAGGTCAGAATTTGAAAGTGGGCTTCTGTTAGACAACAAACCTGCCAATCACTAACTGGGTCATAAATGGAACACTGTTTTTTGTCATACTTTATCTTCTATTTGTCTCTTAATAGGATTACATCTTTAAACAATTACTATGTTTTGTATATTTGACAACCTGAAACTACTGATTAAGATCCTTTAGATTAAATAAAAAAGTTGACTGGAATTATTGTAGATAAAATATCCTATGTTTCTGAATCACACTTTATCTTCTATTTGTCTCTTAATAGAATCACATCTTTAAACAATTACTATGTTTCGTATATATTTTAAAATCAGAGATCACTTTTGATCACCTTCTATGTTTACTGATAGATGTAAGAGTTACTGTTGGAACATAAACATAAAAATCATGCTGTACTTGTCTTTAGATTCAAATCCTGTACCTCTGTGTATTTTAGCATCAGTTTCTCTGTCGCCCTATTGGCTGTTTTCACAGGTATGTTTTCCTGTGTGGTTCTGTTTGTGGTTTTCAACATGGCTGTGAAGCTGCACAGCTGCATTTTTCTAGCTTTAAGGCCAAGTCACCCACCGAGCGGCCAGTCCTCCTCTGCCTATCAATCCCAGACCACAGACCCTGTGTTTACTGCAGAGGTGTCCCTGGTGCCTCGTTCCATATACCCATAATCCTTTTCCCCTTTCCAAAAGCCCATGCTTGCCTGTTGTCCTCCTAAACCCACCCCCCCCAAAACCCTGTTTTCTCCTGTCGTCTTCAGTTAGATGTTCCATCTGCTCCGACTTTCTCCAGTTATATCAAAAATAGATGGTGTGCATTATATTTAAAATAAATATATGTTAACTACCAAAGCTTTGGCCATTTGCTGCTTTTGATTAATTTGTTTTCATGATCACCTTCAAATGGTTCTTCCTCCTCTTAATTACATAATCAAGGCTTTAAACTACATTAAAAATGAGGGCTCCACCAGGCTCTTGTCAACTCATAATCAAGTTGTTCTCAACATTTTTGAACAGAAAGTTATAAATTGTTGTTTTACTGGTGTTTACTATTTTATTTTTTGTACCACTCTCTACAAACCATTGAATAAATTGGATTCTGTCCATGAACAACAGACGTGGACTGGGGCCAGAAATGAGTGGAACGCTTGAAATTAAAAAATAGTTTAGTTTAAAATGAGTATTTAACCATATGATATCATCATACCTTCAACCTACACTTCCTCTATCACTGTATTTAGGCCAGAGAATAGAACACTGAATGATTTATTTATTTATTTTTAAACTACATATCAAGTTTTGAAGGGCATCTAAGACACTCGCCACCTCCTAGCTCCCACCAACATGTTCCCTGAGTGGGGGCTTTGTTACTAACAATAACTAACCCAGAATGCTGGGCCAAGCTTCCAGTCCCAGCTTCAAAATGCAACTGACAGCCAGAAAGGCCTAGCTTGCTTGCTGCCAAGCAGCCAGCAATAGCTCAGCTTTATCCAACCCTGGAAACATGGCAGATGGTGGCAGGCGAGAACAGAGGAGAGGAGATACGACGCTGTGAGAGTGTTGGTTTGAGGGGGGGGGGGGAGGGGGTGGGGAGAGCAGGCCGACAGAGGGACAGGTAGAGGGAGAGAAGGGGATGTGGGGGAGTGTGACCACATGCTTGTGTGCCTCTGATGTCATCCTCTGTGACCTCCACACCACAGCGTTATAAATAGTCCATCTTTGCAGAAACTAAACAGCAGCAGAGGCCGTGAGTGAAGGGCCCATCGTGGGCCGCAGTCATTATTTCATCTGGGCATCTGTGTGTCGTCAGACCAATCAGTATTTCATTCCACATCCTGTGGGTTTTCATAATGGTAAATAGACGTTCAGCTGTCACATGAATGGACACTTGATTAGTGGAGACCAGAACCCTTGATAAAGTGCGTCACTCTGTCCATCTGCTGTCGATAAATTTGATTTTCATTTTTGGATACTGAAAAATTCTCCACATTTATCTTCTATTATCCATTATAAAGGACATGAAAAAAAAAATTAAATTGAATGACGCAAACAACAGACTCATACCCAGAAAAGACCAACGTAATAATGACTTTTCATCAGTACACATGTGAAAATACTCTATACTAGTTTGATTTTAAACCATTTTGTGCTAATGCACGGAATTATGTTTCCGAATAAAGTTCACCATGTTCCTTATATTAAGTCTTAAGTTAAATTTGCCAAATTGCAGGATTTCATTTCAAGGAAGTAAAATAACCTACAAAACTTTCTGAAATTACTGAAAAAAAAAAATTCAGTAATAATAACAGCTCAATTGCAATCCACTTAACATCTCCTTAATGCGTCAGTCTAGTCTGGCGTCCGGATGAAAACCACAGCACAAATTTTAAGCTAGTGGAGTTCAAGGTTGAGCCCTTATCTCCTGACAGAGGCAGTTTAGACACAGACAGAAAGTCAGAGGTGACACCACATCCAAGTCCTAAGCAGCCGTCTGCTTGAATGATTTACCTTCCGGCTAACCGTGCGCACATTGTTTTTATAATGCAACACTCACCTCGGATGATGGACAGCTGGGCATTGACTGTGATCTCGCCCTCGCTGTTCTCCGCCACGCACTCGTAGGTGTTCTCATCACGTGGCGCTCTCAGAGGCTGGATCCTGAGGACGGCTCCAGCACCCTCGTCAAACTCAATGGTCTGTGAGGTAAAAATGAGGGTGGGGTGGGACAGCCGTGAGATTCCATATCAATTCAGGCACTTGTAAAAACAGGAGGATATACGTATATGTGGAGCAGGATATTGAGATAAAAACAACATGTAACATGCCAGGACAGGGGAGGAATCTGCTTTCACTATGCAATTTGTTTTCTTCTACTAAATGCAATACAAACGCACACATATACATTCTTCTTTCCTGATTTTAATCTTTTTGTTTAAAAAACCCTTTGTTCTTTGAAATTCCCTTCAAGCAAAATATTTTTAGCTTGAAAAAATATTTAGCTGCTAACACTAGCACCTCCAGGACTGGAAATCTTTACATTTCCTTCCTTCACATCCTACAGTATATGAAAGGAAAACACATTTCTCCATCTCTAATATTTGCTTCTGCTATCGTCCTGTTCCTAACTGAGAACCTTTTCTAAAAAACCTAGTGTTCTTCAGTCAGGCTCATGATACCATGGTGAGGAGTTCACTGCTGGGATCTCTGTGCAAGCCGTGCTTTTTCAGATGCAAGAACAAGACTCCAGCAGCCTCACTGCTCTGCTGCTGCACATCTCAGAGCTGAGATGTTAATTAGGCTAAAAACACTGCAGAGCACGGCATCACGATCAATATCAAAGCAGTTGTCTGGAGGGTAGAAGAAAGAGAAAAAAATCTTCACAATCTTCAAAATACCCCTTTGCAATTTTTTCCCTCTACTAGGAAGAGCAGAAGAAGCGTCCGTTCTGGCGGGCTGCCTCACACCCTTGGCTTTGTTTATCACTTAGTATGCGAGAGAATGTACAAACACTCCTCATCTTTTCATTTTGTCCTCCACTGAAATGACGTTTTGTCCCTGTTGATGCTGGGTTTTTTTTTTCTTTTCTTTTTAAAACCCTCCCCTGTGGTTGTCTTCAGGCTACTGCTGCTGCTGTTCTGTCTGCGTGTGTGTGTGTCTGTGTTTTTGTGTGCGCTGCCATTCCTCCTTAACGAAACAACTTTTTAATTAAGAGACACTGAGCATTAATCAAGACTTTTACAGATGCCATCTGGAACGCCCGCTGATAACTAAACAACAAACATCATGACAAACTAACAAAAAGGGTCCTTCAAACGGAAAGTGTTCCCCACAAGCAGAGACCCTTCACAGACAAAAACACACAACAGAGGGATAATGACAAAGATGGTAGAGCTCTGGACTCCAGTTAGAAGATAATGACAAAGATGGTAGAGCTCTGGTGGACAATGTGGACAATGGTGGAACTGCAGGTCACCGAGAGGTGAGCACAGCAGGACTGGAAGCTGCTGCACAAATACATACACACAAAAAATGGCATTTTCAACGGAGGACAAGGTCAAGATCATTTTCAAACGAAGGGAGGGAACCATTAACCGTGTATAAGAATTGGACCAATTTGGTGTGCTATAGTGGTCACTCTATAAAGAGTCAACAGGAAAGACTAACAGCTTTAATTACTAGCTTCAAGTCTTTTTCATCAGATGCCAATTTTGTAATTTTCTATCCTTTTTTTTTTTTTTTTGTCGATGACCTGGTGTTTTTACCACAGCAGTGGACTCACCTCTATGCGCTGGGAGTTGACCTTCTTGCCTTTCTTGTTCCAGCTAACTCTTGGTTTGGGATCACCTGTTGCCTGGCAGACAAAGGAAACCACGCCGCCTGAGACACCAGTCTGGTCAACAGGAACTTTAGTGAATCGTGGTGGAGCTGAAAAGTGAAGGAAAACACAAGGGAATTAACAATAATGTTGAAAAGAATGTTGTACTAGCGTAGCCACATTTATGGAAAAACAACAGCTGAAGCCATTGGAGAAATCCATATTTGGTTTATGTCTGAAGTCCTGATTGAACCTGTTGCTTCGCCAACACGTGTCACGGCGAAATACTTTCTGTTGTCAAATAATGGGTGGAATTAAATCATAAAGGCTTTTCTCAATTTGTACCTCATTTTAAATGCTGTGTATGTCATGACACTGGTAATTTGTCTGTAGATGTTTTGCCAAGGTGTTAATTAATCATAAATTATGAAAAACAAATATGGCACTGCAGGGAAATGGAGTCTAGACACCACCGGTGACAAACTGTCAGAATATGACATTAAGAAACTAAGTAAGTTTTACACTTTCTTGGTATTAGTGTTGAAAAAAAGGAAGAGGTGAGGAGAAAATTCACATTTATGTAACAAGAAAATAAACACTGTGGTTTAACCATCTATCATGAATCCTCTGACGCTGTGGCTCACTGACATCGTAGTCACAGAAACTTCTATTCAACAGGGCTGGTAGTAGAAAGGAAACGAGTCCCGAGAGTGACATGTTAGATCTGAATCACAGTGGTACAGGGACGATCAACGGCCAACACAAAACATCAACTTAATAATTAATTTGGCCACGCGTCCACATCAGTCTCCAGGCGAAGATGAACACGTGTTAATGAGGAAGAATCCCTGAATGTGTTACTGCATTCAACTGAACGGAGACAGTGTTTTAGACATGAACAAGAAATGGAGAAGGACAAGGGGAAGGGAAGGGAAGACGGGTGAGTGCAGAGCCTCAGGAAAGTAAATTCACAGCGTGCAAAGATAATCTCACCGCCCCCGACAAACACCCAAAATCCTTCTGATGCAAGTGTAACAATTTACATAAATACACTTCACCATGTGATACTTATTTGATGTGAAAAGCTCATTTTGGAGCCAGCTCCAAATAAAACAAACTGTCTAGAAAGTCAGCGGTTACACCTCACTCTAATTTATATCAATTAAATAATATTAAAAAGTCAGTGTGGAACCAGTGTGTTCTAAAGCAGGTCATGTCAAATCTGAGGTGAAATACAGGAGTCTGACTTCAAGGTCGTGGATAAAAGGACAGGTATGTACCAGGTATAACATTTAAATAATATTAAAACAAATAACCTGCCGTCAGATCTACCCATTAATTCACTAATTCATTGATCTCGTATCACACAACTCCTTTCATGGTCACAGAAGTGCTGGAGCCTTTGCTAGCGGTCAGCAAACAAGGGTATAATACACTCTGGACAGTGTGACTAGATCACATAAACACTGTTCACACTAACATTCACACCAATGGTCCATTTAGATTGATTTAATCTGGACAGTTGGACTAACGATTCCTATTTTGCCACCCTAGACGTTTCCTCCCTGAGGTCAAAGTCAGACTGTGTTTCCAGAAGAAACTCCATCATCTGCTGGGTCATCAACGTAGCAAAGATCAATGCAGAGAAAACACCAGTGAGGCTGGCAGCCATGCTAGCAGGATTAGCCATGTGACCTCCTATCTTGACATCACAGAGAGCGGCACCCAACGGAGTAATCCTGTGAAGGTTTGTTGCATGCTTTTCCAGAGATGAAAATATCCTTCAGCAGCTACCAGTGCAGGAGGAGAGACTGACTTTAGTATTTCTATAGAGAACAAATCACAGAACCATTCGAATATAATCCCCGAGTCATTTTGATGGGTCACAGGACGTAAAAGCTACTGTGTTCATCTGCAGGGACTGGCTTTGGTCTTTTGTTTCGCCTGTTGTGATGTTTCTGGTTGGAAGTAAAAAAAAAGAAAATACAAGCAGAAGATATTCTGTAGGTGGCAGTATAGTAACTCATTGGATGTAAAGCTGCCACGAAAATGTGGAGAAGACAAAGAGAAGTAGGGTGTAAGAAGATGTGACAATTAAAAGTTGATTTGCAACTTTACACAAAAAGGTTATTTAATGTTTCATGAAACACAATTTTAAATGTATAAAACACATGTAGATCACTGAGGACCTAATAAATTTGAAACACAATTTTAAATGTATAAAACAAATGTACATCACTGAGGACCTAATAAGTGATCAAATGAGAGCAGGGCTATAAAAAACATGTTTTTTTAACTAGAGCAGGACTATAAAAAACATGTTTTTTTTACTAGGTTTGCCAGCAGGACTATAAAAAACATGTTTTTTTACTAGGTTTGCAACTTATATATTAAAACATATTTCACACGTTCAATATTTTCACACTGATAGCCACTAGAGGGCACTCTAGCCGGCTGGTGCAACTTATACTCCACCATCTGTGTCACCTGTCCTATAGAAAAATGTTCCGACCAAATTAAAGGATTACAAACTACACCTACTCTCAGAGCACCCCCTAGAGGAAGATAGGGGGTTGTACTATATTCTATGTTTTAACAATAACCAAGAATAGTTTGTACAATTTATATATTTTGGCAAATACAGAAAAGATGCCTTCGATGCCTTGACAACTCCAGGTGATTCTTCCGTTTTACATCACTCCAGCCTGGATGACACAGTACATCCAGGACCAGCAGATTTTGTTGGGACATTTGTCACTGGACATGTTTATAACAGTGACAGACAGCTGTTTACTCTGTCTTTATCAAACATAACTCAAATATATTGCAATCGCCAGCAGCACTGACAGTGGCCAATTGAAAATTTATCACATATCAACCGTCCCTAACAACAGCTGATGTGTGATACATCTTACTGATAGGCCTGGGCACTGACAGGCAAAATAAACCAACCAACAGCCGGGGATCAAAGTCTTTGCTTGGTGGGATGTCTTCAAGTCCTGTTGTTGTTGGCCGTTATGTCATTGTTAGAGACATTGATTTTTTTTTGTTTTTTCCACTTCTGATGTTTAAATAAAAGCATATTGATTTTTGCTTATTGCTTTTGCAATATTTTCTGGAGTTTGTTTAAATCTCAAAATGTACCAGTGATGTCACTTCTCTTTAAGAAATGACATCGATTTGAGCTGGCTAAGTCAAGGCTTCTGAACACTGAAGGAACAAAGAGAATGTACTGTAGTAATGAACTGTAGTACTGTAGTAAAAAGCCAGCGAGTGAGAAAAAAAGAGAGAGAGGAAGCGAGGACAGAGAGAAAGTGAGGACAGAGAGAGGGAGTAAAAGCGAGCACTTGTAAAAAGAATAACAAATCAATATCCATTCTGTATGGGTGGGAGTAAAGGTTGTGAGATGATATAGGTGGTCTGCAGTTTTTCTCCACTACTAAGAGACAGCTCTGCTTTATCTGCTGCATACAATCATCCCCTTTGGCATTTCATACTTTTTCGATTTACATTCCGAAACTACACAAGTCAGCTTCACACAACTCGGCTCCTCAGCGTTTGACCTTCCCTTACAATGTGCCCTCTGTCAAGACACAAGAGAGATTTTCACACATCAGGCCTGTGGCAGTGCTTCTGCTGAAGACCGCTGCTCTTTGATTAGTGCCCCCCCATCCATCCAGTCAGTGTTTTCATCCACTTGCCATTTATTCGATGATTCTCTTCTGCTTCAGACGTGTAGCGTACCATAAACTGGCTTGCTCACATGTCAGTTTGAATTCCCGTACTGTTTTATAACGCAGGTATCAACAAGTCAGACATCAAGACAGAGGCTTAGGGGATGAGTAGAGGAAAAAAGAATAGACTAAAACATGAACACTGACAAGAAGGTAAGTGTACAAAATACTATGTGAGGTTCATAATACTATGCATTACATTCTGAATTACTACAGGGATTCAACTACTACTTAATTATTGCCCCCATGTTTCAGAACTGGGGCGAACGCACAATAATAGTCTTCCCATAATCATTACTCTATGCTAAATAATAAACATCTCAAGGCGTCTTAAACTGCTGGGCAGCACTTGGTTTATGACTAAACAACATTTTGAAGTTTGCTTCATTTTGGTAATGGCACAGTTGGCGACGCCTAGTATTTTCCTCGTCAAATTATGGTGAGTGCCATAAACAATGAATGAACTGTGACAGGATACGTGTTTTTGAAAAGATTTATAGGCGGTGGAGACCTCGTGTTATGTCTACGTAGTTTATACAATTTGCATGGCCACGCAGCAGAGTCACACCACTTCCAATATGAAACTGGCTTCAAGAAGTGAAGCAGGTTTTACTGCAAATTTACTGTGCGGGATGACCTGTCGCCGTGGGTCCCAGGACAAGCCTCGTACTACCGTTTTTAAAATTGTAACTTTGTAAATGAATCCTTCCTAATTCTATTACCATATAATTCTATTTTTTATCTTTAAATACGAGAAACTGACTTTTATAAAAAAGAGAGACCATTACTGGTCGGGAGCACCGTCCACTATCAATAAAGAATAGACGAAGTCACAGTGCTTCTACATATAAATATATATATACATATATATGTATACATGATCATCATTCATACAATGCATTATATTCATTATAAACAGATAAAACTTCATTTTCTGTAGGGAAGAGAAAAGAGTAAAAAAAAAAAAAAACCTTACAATATCATTTATGACCAGCATGAACTCCTGAGGCTGCATTTACAGCCACACAAAGGCAGAGGAAATGAAAAGTAGTCTGGTTGTGACTAATTAAAAGTTAAAGGGACAAAAATAAAAGTTTTCTCTTTCCTCTCAGGCAGGAAGTGCTTATAAAAGATGCAAATATACATTATTATATTTTTAAAAGTATTGTTATGGTATTACATAGTCTAAATGGTAATAAATGTGGTATATATGTGTAGCATATAAACGTACCATTGTGTATTCATGTTATATATAGATATATAGGGAGGTCCTGCATCATGTTGGATCTAAGGTTTAAATTTTGATGATGCCATTACTCTTTCTTACGTCCTTTTCAAATCAAACTAATCAGGAATAAGGATTTATAGCCGTTTAA